ACAAGCACTTATTAACATACATATGTATGTACATCCATATGTAAGTACGCAGGTGAATTTGTGCATACTATGGCTGCGACTATTCGCATATTCGTTTATCGGGATAACCGTTCGGATATTCGTGTATTAAGAAAATATCCGGATATCAAGTTAATATCCGTTCTTTTTGTTATCCAGATATGCGGTTAATATACAGATATCTGGTTAGTATCAGCTCTCTTTTGTTATCCGTATAACCGGGTAATATCCGCTCATTTTGTTAATAGGATATCCGGGTTTTTTTTCATCAGATATTCGAATATCCGGACAATACGGATATTCAAAAAATCTGTATAGAGCCCCCAGCCCTAGTGCATACCAGGGATGCTGCGATTATTTGCATTCGCATTCGTTATGCGAATGATTCGTATTATTTTACATATTCGCATCAAATGCGAATGTATACATGGCCAGAGCGCGCAGTTAAGGATCCCAAAGCTCACAATCGCATCGTAACGCACATACATATATGTTATGGTTGTTTCAATTTAACGTTTAGTATATTACAGGCAAAACAACCCTGTACCCTGCTGCATGTCGTAGAAAAAAGTGATACATATGTAGATCTAATTGGGCGCCCTCAAATATGACCTGTAAAATATTTCAGTGATATTTATTCAAATTTTACGTAGTTGTATTAATGGTTACACGTTTTAGTTAATTTTTGTACTTTATTCCTTCGAAAGTGAGCAATTGGTCAGTGCAGCCGGGCTTATATACGACCCTCTAAGAAATCGCCTAATGAGAGAAAAGAAATGTAATATGTCCCTTTTGAACTTTGTCTACTAGATTAAAACACTGTATAGATTAAACATTGGTTTAATGTTCTAATAATTTATAAAACGATGACTTAAGTTGATTATAGTTTTTAATGATATTACTAACATTCCCATTCGCATTACGAAAATTCGCATGTGAAAAATATGACATTCGAAACATCCCTAGTGCATATGCATGCACTTGAATGAATAAAGAGAGAACTGGGGGAAACCAGCTGGCTTTATTAATGTGGCATTGAATTCTTGGCTACTCCAATACTAGTAATAATGCGAACATACATATGTACATTCGCATTTGCAATGCATACAGATATGCAGCCAGAGCAAGAATCTCCAAATTTGATGGAGCTTTTCTTATACACTATGTGCGAATACTCGAATACTCTCGAAGCTGGCTTATAACAAGTTTCTGTGTATAAAAGTTGTTTATTTACGAAACTAAACTCAGTCTCATTCAGCAAAAACCAAATTCTCAGCGCAAGTGGCGGGAAAACATACAAGTTGTACACCAGCGCCAGTTAGCTGGACAAAGGCAAGCGGTTCTCTGGAGATTCCAAAAACAACATGTCGCAATCCTTCGTGCAACTAACCACCGAACAACTGCAGTCACTGCTCGATTCGGTACGTTTAGCAGCCGTTGCCGCGGCCAATTGTGCCGCCCCAGCAATAGTGAAAATGAAGGGCACCTTCGTGTATTGCAATAGTCGCCTCGGTGATCAACATGATTATGATTATGTTCAGGAGTTTATATCAGCGGTACTCGCCTACAAAGATATGGAATCGATCAGCGACGAGGACGCGCTGAAAAGTATTGCAATTCTTTTCTACAGTGAGGCAGCGATATGGTGGCAAGGTGTGCGTAAAGAGGTACAAACTTGGAATGAGGCCATCGCATTGATTCGTGAACACTATGCGCCTGCAAAGGACGCTTACCAAATTTATATGGAGATTTTCGAAGAAAAACAGGATGATGTAATCAAGATGAGTACCTTTGTGAGTCGAAAGCGTGCACTACTCGCACAATTGCCAGAGAATCGTCACGACGAGGAGACGCAGTTGGACATGGTCTATGCTTTGCTGAATATCAAATATCGCCGCGGGTTATTACGACAGGATATTCGTACATTTCGCGAATTGCTCGGACGTGGACGTATTATTGAACACAACTTTAGTCAATCCGAAAAAGAGGAGCAGAATATTAAAAAACACACAAAATACTGAAAAAAATGTTCCTTACGGGAATACGGTTCGGCAACCAAATTAGAATAAATAATTTTTTTTTTAAGAATTTGGACTTCGCTTTTGTTAAATCGATATATTTCTGTTGAAAACAATCATAATGTGGGTATCACTTCATTAAAAAAGAAAAAACAAATCGATAAATTTCTCGATCTCATAATCGATATTCCTATCAACAAATTAATCGGTTTTATCACATATTTTTCTTTTTTGTGGCCTTTTTGTTCATCAATCGTTTTCGTCAAGCTCAACTAATGGTAGGACTAAAAGAAGAGGGGCGTTAGCTAAGTCGGGGTCGAGTCTGGATAGATTGAAGTTCACACTGCTACAGTATCCAGACCATAACTGGGCCAGAGTACCCCATTTTACCCTTCCCTTACGCTTTATAGAGTCAAACACAATGGTCTGATTGCGATAGAAAGCTCACGTAGAATAAATAAATAAATTAATTAATAAATAAAAACTGTTCTATTATATAATCAGATAAAGGCGGTTGAGTCGAACACACTTCAGTTCATGTTTAATAAAGCGTCCGTCGAAATGATAGGTAAGGTTTATGCAGCACGAGCTATCGTCAAACACTGAATGCTAAGCAGACCCTGGCCACTCTTAGCAAGTATTTCTGGCTTGGACGACGCATATCACAGCATGTTCAAACTGGCTCCAAGCAGATTATTCTCTACTCATATTACATTTGGGCTTATGAACTAATGGCTGCGTTTCTTTATACATTCCGGATAATCCCATTTCACAGCCGGAATAAACAGAATGCTTTTGAAATATACGTTAACATATCATCAGGAACGTTCTAAAGAATAAGTAAACAAAAAAGTTTATTCCGAATGTATTGCTTCTTAGCAAAAATGGCAGCTGCAACTAAGTGCTCAACATTGTGATGTCCTTAAGGGCGGTGAAAATCGAGTCTGATAGCCAATTTGCAAACCGGCCCTTGGACTCATTTGAGGTGTAATCAAAACCAGTCGTAGAATACCTGACCTATCATTTGACTTAGCCAATATGGAAGCTGGCTCAAGGATCGACGGAATTCCCAGCCTAATGGCATATAACTTTTGGCCATCGAGGAGGCAGCTGATGGGTCCCCAATATTTCCCGACAGTATAAGATTACGCACGCACTACAAAACATTTTTCAAGACCGTGCAGATATCTTCCAGCTGAAAGTAAAAGCTTTGGCAAACACTACCAAAAAGTGACAGCTTTTGAACGTCCAAAGAAATCGGTCACAACGACCCTGTATTGGCGAATTTAGCGTAAACTTATAGGAAAATTGGCTATAGCGCATTTAACCGATAAAAAAATCTTCACAGCAGAGACTGTATACCAGGGATGAAAAATGGAAATTTCAGATTGTACTTAATATCATAAAATAAATGTACCTAAATGAGACAGATTGTACCTAAAAAAGTTATATCATTCATTTGTAGTTTTTTTATAAATTTTATTTAAAACATGAATA